GTGTTCATACGGCGGTTATCATGGAACCTTCAATGTGACACTTCCGTGCCATTCCATGAAAAGCGGCGTATGGTCCCCAAGTAATAAAAAGGGTGTGCCCTAAACACCTAATAGTGCTGGCAGCAATGATCCCGAAGGACCATAACAACACTGAACTGAAGTACGGGGCAACTTTTTACAGCTGCCACACAGCACTTGACACCTGCTGTTGTGAAGTATAAAAATAAGTTCTTAAACCATCATTACTTTTCAAGTAAGTTCTTACCAAGGTAGCCTTTCTTTCCAGATTTTTTAGCTCACCATGACCGAAGGTTCATGATGAGCTATTAGTATCAAAGGGGGATACTCTGACGTTATGCGTCAACAATCATCTACTTCTCTGAAACTGATGGGCAGATACACCTAAATTTGGTCTGTAGCATCCTTGTGACAGTCACACTTAAAATTGCTCGTGTCATTTCAATTGGCCCCTTTTAGGGGCGGCTAACATAGCTGAAAATAGAAAACCTTTAAATATCACTTAACTTTGTATCTAGCATTCTTAGGTAGTCTTTTATCAAGTTTGCTCATTTAAATTTGATTGACCCATTTTAGGGGCCGTTTAAAAAAAATGAAAAATCTCCTACAGAACTAATTGATGGGTGATCACCAAATTTTGTTTGTAGCATTCTTAGGTAGTGTTTTATCAAGATTGTTTATATTAATTTGATTGGCCCCTGTAAGGGGTCCGCTAAAGCTAAAAATAGAAAAACCTTTGAACATCATATATTCTACTGAAATAATTGATGGATGATAACCAAATTTTGTTTGTAGCATTCTTAGGTAGTGTTTTATCGGTTTTGCTCATATTAACCCCCACGTGACCCAGCAGGTAAGGAGCACAGACGGGCCCCAAACAAAAATAGGACAGGGCACAAGGCAGAGAAATAGAAAATAGTTTGTAACTGATAAGAAATTCAAAGAAAATAAATAAATGATTGAATAATAGGCCCACAACGTCAAAGGGCACAAGAAATGGGACAGGAGACCCGTAGAAGGGGAGAGGGGGTTAATTAAAGAATTAAGACTATGAGCAAAGGAGAAGATACTTACTGTAGACGCTAAAAATAGAAAAAACGTTTGAACATCATCTCATACTATAATAATTGATTGATGATCACCAAACTTTGTCTGTAGCATTCGTATGATTTTGTTTGTTTGTTTCATTTAACGCCTTTTCCCCAACAGTATTTCAGTCATATAGGCGGGTAGTTTCCTAACCATCGTTCCTGGAGAGTAAAATATGAAAAACAAGATCAACAAGGAAAGGCGGCGTTCAATGAACGCAACCCCCATATGACACTAGTACTAGACTACCTTCCTCCGTGCTAAACTACCAAAGCATCTCCCGGGGATCGAACCCACGCCAGAGAGGTAACTGGATTAGAAGTCTACGACTCTAACCCCTCGACCACGGAAGTCTTTTATCAAGTTTGCTCATATTAAATTTGATTGGCCCCTAAAAGGGGCCGCTAAAGCTTAAATTAGAAAACCCTTTGAACATCATCTATTGAAATAATTGATGAATGATCACCAAATTTCGTCTGTTGCCTTCTTTTGTAGTGTTTTAAAAAGTGTGCTCATATTAATTTGATCCTTTTAGAGACCGCTAAAGGTAAAAATGGAAATACATTTAAACGTTTGCTTCTACAGAACTAATCGATGGATTATCACCAAACTGTATCTGTAAAATTCTTTGGTAGTCTTTTATCTTTTACTGAAAAGCAGTTGTTTCTGGTGAGTTTTATTGAAAGGGGTTATGACCCTACTATTTAAAGACATACCGCATGCTTAATAGTTCAACCTTTTTACAGTTGGACGCTACGCTTTCCTCTTTTGATTACATCTGACCGACCAAGTGGGAGACTATATGATGGTATTTTGCTTTAATTCGTAAGGCCCTTGTTGGTGATTTTTTTATGTTGCTCTGTCTTCTTTAAGATATTGTGTACTTAAGTTATGGTCATTGGGTTTTCGTTTATATGTTTCTACATGATCATTTCGGTGTTTTACTTATTTAACCTTTTGTAACCATAATAACTGTTAGATTTTTATTTGGCGGTAATTCATTTTATTTACATTTTCTCGTTTAGGGAAACAAAGTGGGACTTACATTATAGTGTGGTTTTGTGCACCATTAACCGTTTTAACTCCCCAACAGTACTTATGCTATTGACCGTTCCAATGGGGTGTTCCTCAGATGTATGTCTTTGTCTTTTCATACTATTTTGTTGACACTTTTGTGTCCCGTCTTGTTTTTCTCGTCTAAAGTAAGTACGTATCTTTCCTTTTGCCCCTAGGTTTTTGGGGTTTTTTGTTGTTTTTTCCCTCCTCTCCCGTACTTCAAGTCCCCATTTCCTGTGCCCTGTTACTTTTTGGGCCTATTTATCAAACAATTTTATTTGAATTTCTTTTCGTTCACTATTATTTCCTTTTATGTTTTATTAAAGTGATTATCCTGTCCGTGCTATACTTTGTGCCCTGTCCTGTTTAAGTTTGGTGTCCTCCTGGGCGCTGGTCCTTGTTGCTGGGCCGTTCGGCGATTGCGTTATTTCCTTGTTGATCTTGTTTATCATATTTTAACCTTGTCAAAGTTTTCAGTGGAGATTTTTCTTTCAGTGACAACTGATATTTTAACAAGGATAGCTTTTTTCCCCATAACAAAGGTTTGGAGGACACTTAAAGAGTTGACCTTCTCTTTTTATATTATCGTTTTTAATCAAATTTATAATTTCGTCTTTGTAATAACCACCATCTCCAATACCACACCAACTGTGCAATGTTTTACTTTTTTGGTATTGGGTTGAAGCGATGCCGGTTGTACCCGTGACCGAAACTCTTTTTCCAAAGGAACATGATTAACCTTTGCAATATAAATGTTTTCCCGCTACCCGCTTGGCATGTTAATATTACATTGCGCCAATTTAATGATGCAGTAAAGAATAAACTTTAACTTTACTCAACAAATGTAAAGAATAAGTAAAAATAATTACCACAAAAAATAAATGGCTGAGTGTCTCGGTATTTGTGACAGGTGGCGGAGAAGAATAAAAAAAATAATCGAGGAAAAAAGATTTGTTTATCCAAGCTGTTTCCCATGTTCAAACCGCGACGCATTCGAATGATACAAAGCTGGGAGTCGAGTCGAAATAACTCAAAAGATTTTGTAAATGGAGTAAAACTAACAGTTTTGATGTGGTTTTTTTTGCATATTCGGTTGGTTATATTAAAGATGAAGTTTAAAATTGACAATGATGGTGAAGAATAATATGTACTACGTTATCGGCCACAAAGAATATGTGACAATGTTGAAAATGAAATAAAATGCATTGATTTTGAAGGTAGGTGTGCGAATTTTTTCGGGCAAACACTTTTATCTTGTGTTTTATTGTATATTTTTGAAATATACCTTTTTGCAAAATGGCTTACATTAAATTTTTCTGATATATATATGATAAGTAAATGTGCTGAGATTGACAAATATGCATTTTATTTGGATTTTATCTGTAGATATTTTAATTCATGACAAGGCAACTACATTTTAAACTAAAACAAGCCCGTTTCTTCTAATATATTTGATTATGGTCCGATTTGACAAGCAGACATTTTACTTGAAAATGTTATTTAACATTCTCAAGCGAAACAGTCAACGACCATCGACGAAACATTCTGTCCAAAAACTTTCATATCCAAACCTGACATTTCCCCCCAAATGATTATTGATATTTACTTATCAAAGAAGACGAACATGACATTTCTCTTTCGTTTGTTGTTGATATAAGTCGCTGTGCTTTTTGGGATAAATTGCATAAATTATGCAAATGAGAAATAGCCGACAGAATCAGATCACGACTCGGGATTATTCGTAAAAATGTTCAGCGATGATTTAATGCAAACTTTTAACACCTGTTTTGTTACTTTGTTTAACATTTTCATTACAGACGATTGTTATATGTTCGATTTTTGGCGTCGCTGGCGTTTTATGATATAATGGTGAACGTTTATGGATCTTTAATATTTGGTTACTTTTCGCCATTATGCTGTTTTGCCCTTTAGATCATTATGGACATTTTCAGGCCATTATCGCAGAATCTACCAAGTATTAACCACTTAAACTGTATTTTAGTACATCTGACCAGGTGATCTCGTTTTGATCATGATTTTTTCCTTGTTCTCGTTGATACACATTTTGTCAATTTGTTGACTGTTATTAAACTGAAATAAATGTGTGCATGACATAATTTAAAATATTTTAAAGAAATATAATAATAATAATAATAAATCATATCCAAAATCATATGTACATATATTATAAAAAAAAATAACTTATTTTCATTATTCTTTGTTTTCTGTGTTTTATCTGTTGTCCAGAATTTCTTTAATTCTGTTTTCTTATTCATTTTGAAATTAAATATTGAACAACAATAACAATGCTTAAGGTATTCAAATGGTATTTACTTGTGATCAAACACTTGTTGGTGTTTATTTGCTTACTGTTTAAAAAATATTACATAGTATATAATATACACATCAACTGAATACGAAATAATAAAAAAATAAATCGTATAAAAATGTATTTTACGATATTATGAATGATTCCATCGCTTATACCGATTTAACCCTAGCTATGCTAAATAGCCTATTAAATGAACTTGTCCATTTGTCAATTAAAGCCAAACCATTCATCATTTTAAGGAAATCTACAAAATATGTACAGACTGAATAGTGAACCGTGCAGACCATGATCAGATGACACAGACATGCCGGCTGATCAATGTCTGCACTAGTATTGCCGCTAGAAGGTTCAGGGTCAATTGCCTTGTAAACTTCTTGAATGTATATTAATGTAGGCATTGATAATCAGAATTGCAAAGCATGTTGCACAGGATTGTTGGAATTCCGTGGTTTATGCGATGTGCGTGTTGAATATTGTTGTTTCTGTATAAAACAAAAACACAAAAAGTAGCATTGGTTGGGTTAACATGCAGTAGCGCTAAAATTTAATAAACATCTAAGCGCTATCATGTTTCCTTTTCTTTGCACTTTTCTTAGTTTCCCTGGCCCATTCACGGAACATCATTTCAACTTTATATTTCTCGTTTTCTTTCTTGCAGTATACACGAACGACCTGCTCATCAAACTGTGTCGGTAGTAGTAGGGAAACCTAAAGTTATAAAATCATAAGAACATGTTATTACCTTTTCTGTTTGTTATGTCCACAGAAAAATATTGTTAACACTGAAAAGGTCACAATCATCAAACTTTGTCAGAATGTTTATCTCATTGATATCTCAGACGAGTTTGGTCATGGTGACTTGAACCTCTACATCATGCCCCTGAGGTAAAAAAATAATTCCATATCCATGGTGTCACTTAGTATATATATATATATATATATATATATATATATATATATATATATATAGACTGATCAAGAAAACACACCTTAAAACACATTCCCTCTTTGGCATGTAGCATCACGCTGCAGTGGTTCATTACAAGGAATATGTAAATCATGCTCTAGTGGGTCACTTAGTTTACAGAAACATGTAAAAAAATCTATAATCCTAAATAACTTCAACTTATGTGCTCTTTTTATTACGTAAGATAACTGTATATCAAGTAATAAAGTTGCATTTATTCTCAGTCTTTGCACACAACCACACAACGTGATATATTACATTATATTCAATCATACGCAATTATCACATGATGATATTAGTTAAAGAAAAAGAAATAGTTACGTCGTCTTTGTCTATAGGTTGGGCACTGTTCGGTTCATTCTTGGAGTAAAAGTTGACATAAGCTATTGGATCTTTATCCTTTTTACCATAACTAAAGTCCACAACCTTGAAATTTGTTATGTAGATAATTTACTATTAATGATTTATGTCATATAAAACTTAGATAACAATACTTTATACCACTGAGCATATGTCGTCACTAACCCCAGAAAAACATATTTAAAACTGTTGACTTTGTACATCACAGTTGATAGAATATATGTTGCAATGGAAGTTCAAATTGGATACAATAAGTTTATGATTATTGTGAAAGATGAGTGACGAATACCCTCATCATGTGAACTTCATCATAGAGTATTTTCCGTAGATCATTTTTTGTAGATGAAAATTTCAAGAACGTTATTTAAGGACAGCATTTATTGTGTAGACATTTGATCTAGAAGTTGAGCCAGCACAGCAGTGGCATAATAATTTCACATAAACTTGTTGCAGTGAACATTTGAGCCAAGTTTTTTTTTATGTGATCAGTTGGGCCATATAAAAGGGGTAAAGGGTCAATTGATTAGATACAGATATATGGACAATGGCCAAACTGACCGATTGACTCACAGACAGACTTGCACGACTCAAATGATTTGATTCTACTAGTAGAATCTCCATTTACACTGGATGAGGAGTATTATAATTTAGGCTTTGTGTCTTGGCATGTGCCGACGAAAAGAAGACACCCGACTTTATTGTTTAAATTCAAATATGCAATGCTGGCATTTTATAACTTCTCTGATAAAATAATTTACTTACATCAAAAACAACGAATTCATCTAGACTTTTAATAATCTCGTGAAACTCTGGCTTGCCTTTCAATGTCTCCTGAAAGTCGTTCTTAACAGCATCTACTTTCCCTAACCTTATCCCTATTTCAGCATCTTTGGTATTATCAGCATTCTCATCTTTACTAGCACTATATGTTGGCACAATCTGTGTCTAAAGAACAGAAAAAACTTATCACTTTCCCAATATTGAATATATGAAATAAAACCGACAGACTTATACGATTTTAAGCCCAAATGATGGGAAAATGTAAAAAGCTTGAATTTCAAAATCCGAATGTTTCAAGAAGTTATATGAATCATAAAATTAATTTTTTTTTAAAAATGAAGAATTATATGGGAAAATCAAAAGTATACAATGAAATAAGTAAATATTATAAACAGCTTATTAGTTTATGCCGAATTTATTTTTAGTTCGATTGTCTAGGAAGCTATATCCTAATAGACACAGAACCTCGAATCTGTTCTTGAACCAAACAGCACAGGAAAATGAGTGTAACGTTTCTTGCTCAAGAAAACAAAGGCTTATCCTGACGGGTTTGAACCAACGCAGCTGGAAATCAAATGAAAAAACTAACGTCCCCGAAACGTCAGAGAACAGTTTAAACTCTACTTAATACATACTTTTTCGACAAATGTCCCTCCGGGAAACCTTTTCTCACCTACAAAGCTGTACAAATCTCGTTTAAGAATGTTTTCCAGAATTGTTTTGGATTCCTGTAGCTTTTTGTCATTGCTTCCGATGATTCGATGAATGACGTCATCGGAAAGAAGCGTGTACGCCTTCATATCATTTATTGTTTCAGACATACAAACTGATCTAAAATAAAGTTCAGAATTGAAAAGCAATCATGTTATTGCACCATCACAATATTTAACGTATTTCGTCTCAGATTCGATCGTAAAAATGTTGATTTTCAAAATATTAGTTTGGACATAATTAATATTGAAAAATGGTCATGCATTACATACACACTTCTTGTTGTGACCAGTATAAATAAACGTGTCCTGCATGAAACATGTTTGTTTTCAATAAAATTATCTGTAGTTAGTCATTATCAAAACTGAGTTTGGCTTCATCCTAATTCACTTTATATTGGCGTGATCTTTATTTCGCGAAAATCAGAGTCAGACATTTAAATTCGCGTTTATTAATATTTATTTCCGCAATTTACAGGTCAGAATGTCTCAATTTCGTTCATTTCTATACTGTGCCCGGACTTATTCACAGTAAATATACCTTTAATGTTGTCCAGTTATAAAGTTATTCACTATCAATAGTGGATACATACTCTTTATAAGCTCCAAGAAAAATAGTGCAATGTCTTTCTTGTGGATGTAGAAATAAAAGTCTAACATACTTATTATCAAACCTTCTTTTTCAAAAAGTGTAATTGGCTAATAACATATATGCGTACATATTAATTTATTAATAAAGCGATAGTGTATAACACAAATATTTCACATACTAAAATATGCATCATCATTAGACTTTAAAAGTCATTGCAGATAGTGGAACGTGTTCTGACGTAAATCAATATGTCAAAAAAGGTTTCAGATTATAAACTGTTATTTTATTCCCTATCAATATTGTAACAAAATACCGCGGTACCTAGAAGTTAAATAAACAAAATGTGCGATTCTAAAAACATTATTTTTATTACACGAAGTCTAATAAAAATTTCGTGACAAATATTCTAAATCAAAATATTGTTTTCACAAAAATAGAGTCTTTCCAGTTGTACTTGTTTATTTAACAAGAACCACCGCATAGCAAGGACTTTCGCCAGTTCACCTATTATGCTTTATGACATTCCAATTTCCGTTTTTTCTTTTGCGATAGTGAATTTGATGTAAGATTTTGGTTATTTTCTAGACTTAGTGTATTCCGTATCTTTATAATTATAAAGGTATTTTGAAATATATCTTTGTTATACGTTAATTTTATTTCTATACACGTTTTTCCTGTTTCATACTGAAAATTTGTATGATTCCATTAAAATATATTTAATACATTTTAATTTCAAAATCACACATTAATATCAACATTTAGTATTCATTGTATGGACGCTACCCAATATGTGTTAATTCATTTGTAATAAAATGTTCAACATTTAATCAAAACAATCGAAACATCATTTGCAGTGTAAAGTGATGTTTAACATTGACTCATTAAAACAAAATCGTCTTCATAACAATGTTGACGTTATCAAAAAACGAAGCGGGAAACCAATTATTGTCGACAGAGGTCGCTGTTTAATACTAACTGATCCCTTTCGGTGCGGACGTAAAAATCACCTCATGGGAAAGATCCGATCAAACATCGTGATGGTCAGACACCCACATTGATATTTCCATAGACTTACATTATAAGAAATGGTCTCTAATCCTACCTTAAAATTGAGTTTTCATGCTAAAGAGGTGATTTTTCTAGCAGAATGAAATGCCTAATACATAATATATAGTTATATAGTTGTAGCCAACCAATTTTTTTGCAAAATGATTTCAAAGAAGATTACCACCCCAACCCCCCATTTCATTGAAATATTCTGATGATCACAGGACTGACATACATTTTTTTTTATAAATGCAAATATCCAAGTCAAAATTATCATAGAGACTCATGAAATATTTCATTTTCTTCAGAAAACAATGTAGTGTTACTTTTTAAATTAGTTTTTATACTTAAAAATACCCCATTTTCATCCAATCACCTCATGTATAAATTGAATCATACGGTTTTCCCTGCATTTTTTTAGCCAATCGCTGGCAATGTTACACTGCGATACCCTGACATGATACCCTGCCTTAAAAAAAGCTTTTACTTGCTCTAATTACAACAACAACGAACATGTTCTCTATTGCATAATGCGCAACATATCATTTTTATTCTTTAAATCAACTCATTTTTGAAGATCTTTCAGAAAAGGTATGCATGTGGCATACTGTATGCGGCGGATTTTGAGATATTTTGCCTCAAACTTGGCCTTTTTACTATACGTTATATATAGGGAGAAATATTTGGTAGTCATTAACCTCCACATGATCGGATTAGTTTTCGTAGTATCAGACTTGTGAACACAGGTCAGGGAGCGATTATTTATTTTTACATTTTTACCAGTCATTCCCCGTTGATTAAAAGGGCCAATTCTAGGGCAAAAACCTAACTTAATTTATTTTGAATTATACTTCGAAACTGTGCTATTCAAACTGCTGTTTCGAATACATTATACACAATGTCAGCATGGGACTAAAATTACCATGATTTTTGTAACACTGAAACACTGTAAGAATAAAATGTGTGTCAAATTAATTTTAGAAAGCAAATTCAAAGAAAGGGAAAAAAAGGAAAAATTTTGAAAGCCAGCAAATTAAATATCTAATTATAGTTTGCATGTTTACAGCCTTATTCGAATATTTCAATAAGAACTCGAGTTACGTCAGCAAGTACAACATCTTAATATTGCATAATGATTACAACGTATTAATAATAATGTCTTCATATTAATAACAATGTTTTCATAATAATAATAATAATAATGTTTTCCTATTAATCATAAAGTCTTCAAATAATAAGAATGTCTTCATATTTATTACAATGTATTCATATCATTCCATAGAGGACTACGCTCGACTTTTTCTTAAGTCAAATACATCAGAAGAAGAATATTAAAAGTAATTATAGCATAAAGTCGGCTATTTTTGCTCTTTTGCCCATGTTATAACGGGACCAAAACCATGTGTTATCATAGTCACGCGCTCTTGTTACAGTCCGGTTTTACGTATGCGCAATACATACAGGGCCCAGTAAACAAACAAAAAACTTGACGATTTGGCCTGTTTGTCAAAGAGTCATGCGCTCTTGTTATATTGAAATTGTTGATTCGGGGGCCTCAATCACAAAACGGCGAGCAATATTCAAGCAACTATGCCAGAAATACGGCGTATAGACATCGCCGCTAATCGTTGTGGTGCCCTTTCTATGAAACGAACTGTTGTCAATGCAAACAAATATCTGTCATTCTGTTTAACCCTCCGATTATCTTACAAAACAAGATAACACATAATGAATATGCAAAAATGTTGTTTTATTGATTTTTATATTATAAAATTTTAATGCTCTTTATATTTCTTTGAGAGAAACATGTTCAGTGCCTGATTTTTTTGTATAAACTTGTGTGCTTGAAACAAACGATTTTGATGTCACTGATTTTTTTTCTACCGCCAATCTGAAATAATTCTAGGATTTTCTGAAGGTCATGTTTTGTAGATTAATTTAATGGGTTTTTTTTTTCTTAAGATAAGATAAGATTATATTCTAAAATCTCTTATTTTAAAATTCAACAATTCGGTTTGTCATGTGTAGACTTTTGTCGCAGTATGAATCAAATATGTACATAAATAACAACGTTCTGACAATTTAAGCAAATTTCAATCATTTTAACTTGACGATCAATGCCAATTAAAGGTCAAGGTCAAATCAGAGTAGTTCACATGTCTTCTTTTACATATGTTATTTGTGTGTGTGTGTAAGTATGAATCAAATCTACACTGACCTTGATGGTTAAGTCAAATTTATCTCATAATAGTTCGAAATGTTGGTTTTGTCATGTGTGCTTTGTCTTAGTTTGATGTATTAATTAACTCCATATATAAATAATAACGTTATGGCAAATTGTGGCAAAAATCACTTCGTTGACCTAAGTTTTCAACGTCCTATTCATGTCAAGGTCAAGCTCAATCAAAACGTTTTAATGTCTTGTCCCAAGAATTTTGTGCACAAGTATGAAGACAATAATTTAAAAATTACAAGGTGAAAGACAAACTTAGAAATTACAATACATTGACCCTTAGGGTCATGGTTATCTTAATTCAAGGTCAAATTGAGTCTTATCCGTTTCAATACATTGCCTTTAGGGTAGTTGTGCATAAGTATGAAGATAATCAATTCTTTAATAACAAAGTTATCGCAAATTAAAGCTACAATCAAGAAAAAAAATCAAACATTAGACATTGAAGGTCAAGAACATTTAAGAATGAAGATCAAGTTCAGTCTTGTCACCTTGAAGGTCTTGTCCGAAAGATTGTTGTGTCCAAGTATAAAGGCAATTTATTCACAAATAAATAAAAAATGACCAAAGTCAATGTTTTCAGATGGCAACGGCAATGATAACGCAATAGCAACGTCAACAACATGACAGGAGCATGCATGCGCAGTAGCTTTTATAAGCAAGCTTATAAGTCATATATTAAGTGTGGCCAAAAATAAAATTATGCCTGTTTCCCCTTCCCGATCCATTAAAATTAGGGTTTGGTAGGTAGGTAGGAAAATTATTTTTTATATGGGGATAATAATAAATAATCTGCATATATGTATAATGAACAATTAAAATTAAGTTATTAAGTGCAATAGTATATGTTCATGCATCACTATACACAACTGACATATGCAACAATTTATTAACTATGATAGCTGTCTTATATCAGATTAGATTGTACCGTATGTCATCTGAAAGAGAAAAAAATACTTTTATCCCCAAAACACCTGAAAAAATATTTTGGGTAGGGGCAAATTTGTTGGGTAGGTTGGAAAGGGGAAACAAATTAAATTTTATTTTAGGCCTGGCATTTATAAGTGATATTTCATAGAACACGAAGAACTATTTTACCCGTGTTTGCCCTGAAACTTTAAAGACTTGTTTGCCAGCACTAAAGCTTCGACAAGCCTGAAATATAAATAACAAATATGTTTTGATTAATAAAAAAAGCATTATAAAGTATTTAATTGCATTTTATTTCACAAAAAAATGGTTAGATGTTTTCCTTCAGTGGTATTTGCAATACATAAAATATTATAAGGGGTAAATACCAAAACCCAATTCGTTCTAACCGTTGTGATTAATGTAAGTAAGAATATTTAAGGTCATGTTCCTATGATTGCTATCTTGATGAAATGGCTGTAATATCAGATACTATGAGTTTAATTTATAATGTTAGTATTATCAATTTTTATTCATGCATCATAATATTTATTTAAATTTGGCAGGAAACTTACGTTAGTGATAACATTTATTATACTGCATGTTTGTAATGTCGCTTTTCAATGGATAATCGTGACGGTTATATAGTTTTTATATAAATGGCTGATGTCAATTCATGAAGAAATCTCATTTTTCTCTAAAAAAGGAAGCTTGCAGTATTATAAATATGTTATAAATATTCCTGACAGGTTATATGGCGGTATTTAAACGGTTGTTTGCAATATATCCCTCGCCTAGCGGCTTGGGTTATATATGCACATAACCGTTTATATACGGCCAAAACACCTGACAAAACTCTGTTTAATTAATAGTATAACAGTATGAACACTGTCTATGATAATAATGATATGGTCGATTATTTTATATCAATAGGTTAGTAAGCAAATAATAAGAAAGCTACAGACATGTATTCAATTATGTTGCTTGTTTTATGCTGGTATGCCCTCTGGTGTAGTAGAAGTCTGGTATGGAACATGTCGTACAGGTTATGTACCTCCTACCAATACATTGTAAATATAAATAATTTACAGATAGTAAAAGTCGAATAAACCCATACATCAAATTTCACATTTAAATATGTTAGATTAATGAAATACTAATAATTGTAATTACACAATAATATCACATGGAGTAATTTGAATATGTCACGTCCTAACTGTATTGTAACTTATTTGTAACATTTTAGATGATGCTGAAGCAATTTCGAGTATACATGTACTTTGGTGATGATAAGTGAGGAATTTACCTTGGTGACATTAAACCAAACCAAAGGTCAAAAGTTTATTAATCATACCTTTTTATCATCTTTTTCTATAATATGTCAATGGATGGTACCCTAGTTCATAAAATTAAATTAATTGTGTGATATATAGAAGGCTTGACATATTTACACAAACAGCATACAAGGGTTTGTGTAAAAGCAAATAACATCGTGTATTTAATAACTACATGTGAATATAAAGTGTTAATTAAGCTCAGTTGTTACGTAAATGCATGACATAAGTTTAATTAAGATTTAATACAGTGCCCTCCAAAAGTTCTTGGACAAACTATTTTTGGTAGTGTTTACACAATTAAAATGATGTAAAACATAAATCATAAGTAAAATGATGATAAATTTGGTAAAAGTATTTATTTAGTTTTGTATAATCACAAAAAACAGTTAACATCTCAGTATAATGCAAAACAACAAGAAAATTTGAAAACTGTGGACATCAACATGATGTTAATTACGAAAGTAGTGATCTACTTCAGTACTTTGTGTGACCTCCTCTGGCCCTTATAACAGCTTGAATCCTTCGTGGCATGCTTCTTACAAGTCTTTCACATGATTCAGGACGTACTGAATCCCAAACAGTTTTCACATTTTGTTCAAGCTCACGGAGATTATGGCTGTGTTTATTTCTTAGTTCAATTTTCACAATCTGCCACAAATTTTCAATGGGGTTAAGATCAGGAGACTGAGGAGGCCATTTTAAACACTTAAATTCATTCTCCTCTTTCCATTGTTCAACAATTCTAGCTCTATGGCAGGTAGCACCATCATCCTTTTGGCCTCCCTGTGCTAGCACGATCTTTATGGGTACCTCATACCGTTTCAAAGTGTGGTAGACTGTTGACCTGAAGTAAACAACGACAGATTAGAAAATAAAATTAAAACAGCAAGATTAATAACATATAGCAGTAAAAGAAAAAACACAATTTGGCTTAAAATTTTGAACAAGAAAACATTTTAAGAAAGCTTATCTCTTACCTAGGTCGATCCATCCAAATGGCGATATCCGCTACTGAGACTCCCTGCTCCCTCATAATCTGGCATAGTAATCTTTCCTCTAATGTTAGCATTTTGAATTGGAGTTGATATACAGGTTTCATATTTTCAATATCAAGCACATTTTTGATGCAAAACATGGTGGAAACCTTTCCTAGGAGAATCTTCATTTTATTATTTGAAACTTCATATCTTTACTAGAGAATGTTAAATGTCAAATATCTAATTTATTAAAGCACTGTTATTGCTGAATTTTTATGAAATGCTTTTTTAAATTACCCCCCTTTTTTCTACCCATTAACAGAACCAAATTCTTTTATAAACTATTGACAGATGAAACAAAGTTTGCCAGTGAATGATAAATTTTAAGTATGTCCAAGGACTTTTGGAGGGCACTGTATATTAAAAAATCTGGAAACAAAGTGATCCCTCGGAAGCATTAATCAAAACAAAATAACAAGAGAATTGCAAACTCGGTTTTATTGAGTCTGTTCATGAGGAATACTGAATAAGTGCAACATCCCCCACGTCCCCTAGCACCGGCTTGAGCGGTACTCAATTCTCAACACATCAATGATCCCGAAGGACCAGAAAAATATAACATCACTGAAGTGAAGTACGGGGCAACTTTTTACAGCTGCCACACAGCACTTGACACCTGCTGTTGTGAAGTATAAAAATCTGGAAACAAAGTGATCCCTCGGAAGCTTTAATCACAACAAAATTACAAGAGAATTGCAGACTCAGTTTTATTGAGTCTGTCAATTTTCGGTCGGTTTTATTAAGTCAAGATATAGGTAATTGCTTACTTTGTCTCTATAACATATTTGTTGTTCACCATTAACTTCTATAACTCTTGAGAACGCAATGCATCGATTAAGGTTGAAATTGTTACCAATACCCAAACTATGACAGTCACGTGCAAAATAGTCCCACTTGTCAACATCAACACCATTACGTTTGTTTGAAACAATCTGAAATATTTACATTGGTGTAGTGTTTATAACGATCCGAAGAAATATGATTATTATACTTTCAGGCATACAAACAAATGTAAGGGTACACATCCAGGTAGTTCAACATTTGAATAACAAACATGTAAGTTAAACAAAACAGAGAAATTAATGCTTTTATTTAGTTTGTGTTTTCTAAGAATTACTTTGAGTAATTTATAGAAGACCTGTTTCTGCTTTCATGTCACTTATATCTGATTGAAAGTGTTTTGGGAAGACGTATCAATAATTCTGATAATTATGCTTAATACACGTGCATTTTATCGTTAAATGGGTACCTTGCTATAAATACAATATTTTTATTTCAGCATCAAAATCATAGTTAAATTCAATCATTTAACGCGTTTGCACACGTAAAGATTGTCAATGAAAATAAAGTGGGAACAAACTACGTGACATCTTGGTTCAAGCATCTATATTTTAATAAAATTCTAATAATAAGTATTTTCAAGAAAAAAATATTGCATGCATTCGTAATTAGTATTTAATAGTTTTGTAATATACAATAATTTACCTCGTAAAGAAATGCCTTTTGTTTTGTTCTGCCTTCAAACGGCCAGGTCTGAAGAATATCAAAACATGAGAGCTGAATCCTAATTGTATATAGTTCAATAACTTACTCCTTATAATTAATTGGCTTCATGTACCTTACTTTTAAAAGTGCATTGATTATATGCTTCACGATTTAATTCATTCATTTCTGCCATATATCAATTAAATGAAATGACAAAATTTAAAACACTAAACAACATATTTGTTTGAGTAGGTTTTTAGTTGTATCAAATCCTCGGGCTACAGTCAAGGACACATTGACACATGAAGAAATAGAAAATAGTATTTTTATCTAAACGTGTGTTTATGTCTAGGTTCTGCATGTAAACGCTGACAAAAGCAACGCAAAGGAAGAGGCAATACACATTCAAATACAAATGTGTTTGAGAAATTAAATAGGGATCAGACCAATTCTTAAAACATGTCTAAATCATGTTTTTAACATTAAGCAATATAATACACATATCTAAATGCTAGGCAATGTGGCTTCCTATATACATGTATATATAATTTTCTGAAGTGATCACCAGTGACGATTTCGATCTGATTCGTTTCCGTCCCGTGTTCAAGAGTTATAGAGGTGTCACAAAATTGCTCACAGATGGACAGACAAAACCTCAACCATGTGCATTATTTCGAGCACGTTTCAAAATATGAAACATAAAAATTTCAAAATTCTCGAAAAGGCTTTGAAACTTTAAAATATTTGATTCAATTTATTATTTCATCATTATCTTAAGAAGGAAAACTGTTATACACTCACTTTATCTGTCACACCCATGTTATTCTTATCCTTTTCAAACTTTTGTGGTCCAGCAATCATCTCCTTAATAAATGTTTTATCTTTTTCTGATAAATCTTTATTGAATTCCTCCTCCAAGTCCTTATTTTCTTCCAACATGTGATCAAACATATCAATTGAGCCTTGTTCGTGCTAGATTAAGCAAATAATAGCATTCAAGTTAATTTCTAATCTCTTAATATCAATTAAGAGATACAGCAAAGGGTAGTACTTTTTTAGTATTTAAACAAGTGAACTATGTGACTAAAACTGTAAAACAGACTTAAACAGAAATAATCTAGAAACTTGGTTTATTTTTCGAGCCATTATGTCCTCGATTCAAAACCTAATCTTTCAAAGTTAACAAGATATGATCATTTCAAAAGTGATAATGAGCACAGCAAAATAAGTTGCTGATGATCTAGACTGCTTTTTAAACAGTAGAGGTAAACATACTGTGTTAGCAGCCGAACACACAAATGGAAATCATTGTCTGAGGAGAATGATAATCCGGTATTTAAATAGTTCAAGCATACAACAAAGAGGGATTAAAATACAAAAATATAGTTTAGTTAGAGCAGTTCTTTTGGAACTTAACATGTGATAGAAACTTATAACACAATTAACCAATGCAAATTTTGAAACAAATGGTAAGTTAACAAGCAGAAGATAAATGAGCCGCGTCACGACAAAACCAACTAAGTGCGTTTGCGACCAGCATGTATCCAGACCAGCCTGCGCATCCGCGCAGTCTGATCAGGATCCATGCTGTTCGCTATCAGTTTCTCTACTTGTAATAGGGTTGGTAAGCGAACAGCATGGATCCTGATCAGACTGCTGATCTGGATCCATGCTGGTCGCAAACGCACTATGTTGATTTTGTCGTGACGCGGCTCAATTTTTTAAAAAATGGAATACTGCTAGACTCAGACTTTCTGTAGCTCATAACTCGTATCAATGGGTTCGTGTTTTCATTTAGTAACAAACATAAGGTTTATTGATTGCCAAGAAATTAAAGGTTTCGTTTCAGGATCAATAGTAAGTGCAAGTTAAATAAGTAGAGTTGTCTCGTTTTATAACAGTTAGTTTCTAATAAGCAATTTATAAACATGACATCAGTTTTGTACGGTTTAATGAAATAAGTGTGAATAATACATAGACTTATGTGTAATAAGAATATCGAGCTTTGTAAAATACTTTTTTTCCTTTTACATAATGTTCCGCTAGCCACTTGATCAATTAAAATGTTCATTAAATGTGGCGCATTAAACCATACCTTCCATATTTTATCGGTTTTGACTTTTTCATTTTCCAAAATTTTGGGAATTATTTTTTCATCAAATACATGAGAAAATGGTCCATGTCCTACAAAAAAATAATCAAAATAAAATAAAGTAAAATAAAAATGAAATAAAAATAATAAAGAAACGGCATAAGTTGACCTTAGACTTGTGAATTACAAAATTTTCCATTGAACAATGCAATTTTATATCCATTTTCTTATAATTATAACCACTATAACACAAACACTTTATGCTTTATCATAGTTCACATTACAGATATATATTTCATTTTGAAATATTTGCAAGACATGAGAACATGAACACCTCTTTAAACCCACAGTTATTGCTACACATTTTAATTATTACTATCACCATCCCACGGTCATTACAACGGCATATCACAATTACATGCTCATAATGTCTTAAGCAGCAGCAACAACAACAGCACCACCACTTCCACCACCATCAACAGCAGCAATAATATATATTAAAAAAGAACACTTACCAAGATCATGGCACAAAGCTGCAATTTTAACACAAAGTTCGTCTTCCTTTGTAATCTTGATCTCTGAATTTGATATCTGCCCTTTTAGAGCTCGTACTAGACGTCCCGCTAAGTGGCACACACTTTTTATGTAATGAATATTATAGAAATCTAAATATACATATGTATGTTTAAATATATTTTGTCAGCACGGATGCACGTACTTATCTAGTTAACCGTTTTTAATTATAGAAAATTTAATATGGCTATGTTTGTCTTTACAGATAATATGCAAGACAAAATTTTAGTTACTGATTATACATGCATAAGCCATTTTCACTGTTTACCAATGACAAAAGGCGAAAGCCGAGAGTGACAAATTTTCGTGACGAAAAAAGGACATATGAAAGGTAATATTAAATATATGTTACTGTTTATTAAGTGATTTTTTCTTAATTAAGAACCCCAAATGAAGCGACCATAGCGATTGGGTTCTTAATTGTTAAAATGTTTCCTTAATAAAAACTACCTTTCTGGAACACCCCCAGTCTATAGAGAGTTGGGTGGTGTTAAGGTTAGGAATTTATCAATTATGTCAGTCTATATGTAAATAGCGAACGTAAATCTGGTGACAGAGTGCACATTATTTACATCGTGATCAGCTTAATTTCTTCAATGTTGCAACCTTTTGAGAATGATTTTTGTGATAAAAGCCTTATCCCTTCTCTGTATAATTTCGTTGCTGAGGGTTGAAGACACTTCCATGTAAACTATACCGAAGTGACCCCTAAACATTGCAAAAAGAGGAATGACACTTTACCCTTCAAGTGCCTAACTGTGTGCATTAACTGATAAATGTTTAAATGACACTTTTCATTCATTTGTGGTTTATATAATACATGTAGTTCAAAACGAACAAAATATTTGGGTTTTGTATATATATTCTCCATGGACTTCAAAAACGACCCGCCATAAAAGCGGTTAAATACAGTAGTTGATTGATTGTATCTAGATCTCGCTTAGAATTTTACCAATGTGACGTCGTCCTAATGAGGCAGGGCTACTACGCATACTTCCTTCCAAAATCTTAATTATTAAGTGTTCGACTTAATAAATGTTTGACAAAGTTTGTCTATCTACACAATTAAGAAGTTTTTTTTGATGGAGTCATTTCATTGGTCGGCAAATGATGTTGCACACTTAAATACATGTTTTTTTTTTATTTTGCATAACTTCCGTTTTATCTTTGTTTTTACGGCAAATAGCAAACATATGGCATGGCGTTATTCTGTCGGCATACAAAATATCACAATAAACACTTACCCTATCGAGTGCTCGAACCTGTTATGTGATGCGCCTGGATATACGAAATAGGCCCCACCAAGTTGTTTAATGAATCGTAGACGTTGAAATTGTGGTGTATCTACAATCTTCACTAACAAGGGCTCTAACTCTATATTACCGTGAATAGGATCGTTAAAAATCTGTCAAAATAAATGATATGTAAGGAAAACTCGCAACAGTAGTATATAAATTGCACATTATTATCACTACTGTATCATTTACTTAACGAGTTGGAAGTTACAGGTATAATGACATAAATTTTCACGGAAATTTGTTTTTAGGAAAATAATTTCAAATATGATGCAATATGGTAGACTATGCATGAAAATATATCTGACATATGTTTGCGGTTTTGATTGAAATATCACTCCTTCAGGAACACGTCAGTGGACTATAACTCAGCAAGTCTCGTTGCCGCCAAATGAGCGGGTCCCCTCGGGACGGGGATTCCGATCCGATCCACAACATATAAACATATTGTCATTCTCTGTTTATACCAATTGTCCGAATTTTCGTTTTCGTTTAAATGTTAAATCAATACTGTTGCAATGTACATGATGCGACACTAGCTGATGACCACATAAAGCTACGACACAATATTTTTTATTTAACATACAGGCTATTATTTATATGAGTTTAAGTAAAAACATTTCAGATAACAGAAAACGTTAAAATCTAAATAAATCTGTGTAACAAATTAACAATCTAGCAATATTCAGAACAAAAATGCATAATAATTGTTCCTTAAAATTAGGCATGTTCTTTATTACATAATTAAAAAATGAGGGTGGGTGATCTTCGGTAACATTAGTTAAACGCTAATTACTGCACTGATGACTTATAAGGTAATTAGCTAAAGTTTTGGTTTATCTTTCAATATTTAAATAATGAACATATGCCATGCTGTAGGCAAAAAATTGCCAATTCCAATGGTACATATTTTTCCAATGTAGTACTTTTCTCGATTATCAACATATTGTTATACAAAGAAAACTTTCGGCAAGCATATCGGAAACAAATGGCTAACAATAAAATTTATATACAATTCGAATCAACAAAGAACATTATAATTAATGGACATGTCAATTGCTGTGTCAACAATTGTTACGTGATTATCCAACCTGAAAATTAAAAGTTAAAATTTGAGCATACATTTTATTTATGTCAACCTACATTAATAAATTATTTATTAGGTCTAAATATTAATGGAAATATCGTAAATCGGTATTTCATATTTCAGAAGGTTCTGTAAAAAAAAATGAACGTACATTTAACACCCTAAACCCAATGTTAGAATTAAAATCAGAAGTAAATGTTTACATAAATCATCCTAAACCGAAATTCTAATAAAAAGAAAGAGGAATGTTTTTTTCTGAATTTAAAAGAACAATTGTATACAAAATCCAGGAGTGTTACTTTAAAAGATTCAATTTTTTAAAATAAAAAATAAGGATGGTAACAAAAAATAGTTATGTATCGCTGACGCCTAAGTTAGAAGTTTTAAGCATCTTTTTTATTTTTATTAATAATAAATTTGAGCTGATATGAAGAGATTTAATTAACATATTTTTATATTACCTTTGCGGCCGGCAAATGAACATTTACGTGGAGATTCATAAGAATCTTGCTACCGAATAAGTAGTTATGGACACCAATAAAATCGGTAAAAATCGTCCGCAGGGGGTTATACCCCCCCCCCCCCCGATTTTTTCGTAGTTTATTTAAGGCATTTGGGAGGGAATTCCCTGCTATTACGTTGAGATGTACGCATATATAGTTGATTGCAAATGCAACGACGGTCGTCTTTGGACACCTACATACGCAAAAATGATAACATTAGATGGCAGGGAATGATTACCGTTTTTTAATTCTTCATACGTTCGTAGATTATTCCCCTTAAATATGGTAGTAATTTAAACAGTTTTAAAATATTTCGATGTGAATATGACCGATGTTAATAGATATATAAAAAGATGTTAATATATCGAATCGAGATGAAGATTTCGGTGACAATTTGACAGTAAATAAGAAAACTGATTCCTAATTACTTAGTAAATGATAAGCTATCAATGAGTTATCCAGGGTAAAGTTCTTATGATTCGATTAAATAGAGGATATTGAATGAGTGTAAGTTCAATACTGAATTTATTGCACGAGTTGAATAAAATTATATTATGCGAGCCTCTGGCGAGTATAATATTATTTTATTCAACGAGTGCAATAAATTCAGTATTGAACTTACACTCATTCAATATCCTCTATTTATCACATACCCAAAATAAAGACCGTTTAAAGTGAAGTAAGAGTCATTTTTCATTGACGCGCCTATAGTATAACGCTAACATTTAGCGCGTCTTTACACTATGTTTGTATAACGCTAATGACGTCACGTCAAAATATATGCACGGCCGTGCAATACCATATTTACGGAGTCGCAAAATCGGCACGGGTGTGTGATAATTAATCATATTGTTTAAAAGTTGTTGTAATAAAATGTCAAATCTATTTGTATTGAGCTATTTCATGTATTTAAAAGTAAATTTAAAGCAGAATAGAACAGTACAAGAACAAGGTGGCCATGTAACTGAAAAATAATTTAAAGAA